GTGGACCAGTTGTTGCAGTTACACTCTGCTCTGGAGGGGCATGCAGATCCTTGGACCCGCCTCTTCGCAGGGGCAGCCCTGGTTTGTGCATATGCAAGGTGCAGGTGGAGCGATGTGCAACATACAGAGACAGTCATGTGGGACTTGAGTGCTGATTCCGAGCTTGCATATATAGAGCTGAGAATCGGTTTGCATAAGACGTGTCGGTTGCAGAGTAGGCGCCACAGGTTTCTGCATGCAGTGGCTCCCGCCCTGGGCATCCGACCCTATGGTCATCTCTGGAAGCAGTGCCGCGAACAGTTGGGGGTGGAGGTTAGTGGTTCATGCCCCTTCATGCCGGCACCTGATGCTCAGGGGCAGCCAACAATCCGTGCCTTGGATTCAGATGAGGCTACAGCTTGGTTGAGGATGTTGTTTGGTCAGACGAAAGTCTGTGGTGACACATCATCGAAATCCTTGAAAGCCACCGTCATCTAGTGGGCGGCCAAGAGAGGGGTAGAGCCCCTGTCTTTGCAGAGGCTCGGCTACCATGCATCAGGTGGGATGGACATAGTGTACAGTCGTGATGCCCAGGCCCCACTCGTGATGTTAGTTGAGCGTTTGCTGAGGGAGGTCGCGGAAGGATCGTTTAGGCCAGATGATACCAGGAGCGGCCGCATTGTCGCTGCAGGTGCCGTGCCCCTTGTGCAGCCGGTTCAACCGGTAGGTACGGAGCTGGTTGAGAGTCTAACTACCTCCTCAGGTGTTGCATCCCAGGCTCGTTTACCGTGTAAGGAAGAGCAGCTGCCAGGCTCGAAGAGTGATACAGCGGTGTTGCAAGTTGACAGTGACTCCGAGGGATTTGCTTCGGAGGGTGAGTCGATGGAATCCTCGGACGAAGATGAAGGCCAGCCGATTGCGCTGGTGGCCCAGGGCCACCTTGTGCCATCAGGCTTTGACGTTTGGAGGCACCACTCTTCGGGTGTAGCTCATCTTGCGCCGAGGGTGCATTTCAAGAACTTGTTTGCTTGTGGGCGGAAAGTAGGCTCCAAGCATTTTAAATCTGCAACCGCGTCATTAGGTGCGGATGATTTTCCATGCAAATTTTGCTTTCGCAGATAGATTCGCAACTTGTGGAGCAGGGCAAAATAAGGTGACGTCGACTCATGGGACGGAGATCCTATTCCCGGGCGACAATTCAGGAGGTGTTCCTCCTTGAGTTCGCCGGTGAGTGATCGCCCGCATGCTGATCGTTGACTGTGAGTCATGCCCTGCAAGTCCTGTCGATCTGTGCAGTGAGCGATTGATCGACATGGGAGTGCATGATGGTCTACCTCATTCCTTCTTCGAGAAGTGAGAGGTGGGGCCGAGCCAACCTTGTTTCCTTGTGCGAGGTTTGGCTCGTTGTTCGGCAAAGCATACACGGTGATCGTTTGGACACTTTATGGAAGATCGCTTGAACATCTTTCTGTTAGCGCTGCTAGCTGTACATGGACATATACTTGAGACGTGCAAGTGTTACCTCATAACTGCCAGTTGTAGGACGGGCGGGTGCACCATGGCATTGATCGCATCGGAAGCTGCCTTTTTGCAAAGATGCACCGAGGTGTCTCCAGATGGTTCGTTGCATACTGCATTGCTCGGCCAGGGCATTAAGAACTTCCGACAACTAGCCTTTTCGATAGGAACGCCTCGTGTGGAGCCGTCGGCTGCTCAGTATCTCGAATTGGCGACCCAGATTTTTGGCGCAAGCCCTTCGTTGGGGAACGTGGCAATGTTGCGTGACTTACACTTTGAATCAACGACCTACGTGATACAGGTGTTCAAAGAGCAAGCCACATCAGACGGCACAGACACGCAGGTGAAGAGATTGCCCATGCCAGAGCGTGCGGCGAGGGCAGCAGAGCAGCAACGTCGTTTGTGCGGTGTGTCGATTTCAGGGGAGCTGCAACCTTCTTATAGCCTCATCGACAAGTGCAATACCATGTATGAATCAGGAGCCCTCGTTTGGCTAGCGCCTTCCGTTTGCAGCAAGAGGGATGCCGAGGTGTCCCTAGGTGTCAACGAGAAATCTTCTGTTGTTCATTTGGAAAAGGATTCGCTGAAGCTTGCGGCCCCCGCGCAGAGGATTCCAGTTGACCTGTCGAGTCCGCTGTGCCTGCAGTGGGCGTGGCAGAGAAGAGGCATTGCTTTGGATCAGTGTAGTCTGCTCACCTGGAAAGTTCATGAAGGATATGTTCATCGTTTGTTGAACTTTTTGACTGCGCCTGTCCCAGCAGGGTGGACTCAGGTGAAGCCCGAGCAGCTTATTCGTGCTGATAAGGAGGTTTGGACTTTGTTGGCCAGGGAAGTTCCTCCTCCCTACAAGACACTAGCTGACGGCACTAAACCTTTGGATCAACCTTTCAAGGCGATGGCTTTTGACCAACGCATCCAGGTGTGGCTGTCCCCAGTTCTGAATACTGGGGCACCGACTGGGGGCTCAGGTTCTTCGACCGATGCGGCCATACCCGAGATTCCTCCTCATGTGCCGAGGCCACCCAGGAAGCCCAAACTCCGAAAGAAAGCCAGCAAGCTGATGCCAGATGCTTTTAAGAAGTGTCCTCGTTTCGCCAAGGGCCCAACATGTTGGGCATTTAATGGCGAGGGCTGCTCAGCAGAGACTAAGGTCGTGGATGGTTTGCCCCGTTGTGCCAAAGGATTCCACGTGTGCATTCAATGCCATAAGCCAAACCACAGCTTCAGCACTTGCAGGGCGAAGCCCAAGTCGTGACTATCCGAAGGTCTTGGGTCAGTGGATCCGGGCCCCGAGCCTGCGCCTACTGACCCCGCGATCGTTGCAGGATCTCTTGATGCCTCTTTGAAGAAGAGGAAGTCGTCGAATTTGTCAGTTGTAGATGAACTGGTTGCATCTTTACAAAATAAATCTTTGCAAAGGTGCGACATCCTTGAGTTATTTGATGCCTTGCCCAAGTCGCCTTCTCCTCGACAGTCTGAAGGACGGGGAGAGGCCTTTTCAGCTGGAAGCTTTGTGCATGGAGGAGTCGTGGGACTACACAACAACACCAGTGTTTTCGCCGGTGCCGTAAAGTTGATATGTAAGTTCTTGCGTGGATTGATGAGCGGTGCACCCTTCACTTCGTTCACGATCTTGGATCAGTGCATGAGCAGCTTGCATGTTGACTCAAACAACGAGCCTGAAAGTTGGAACCTGGTAGTGCCTCTTTCCAAGTTCAGTGGGGGTAACATTTGGTATGAATGTGAACAAGGCTGCGAACCCTGCCCGTCCGATCCGAGCTTGATTGGAAAAGTCTTGCGCTTGGAACTGGGGCCTCAGTGGTTGTCGGCCACGAGGCACAAGCACTGTACCTTGCCATGGACTGGGCGAAGGTGCGTTCTGGTGGCCTTTTGCACTAGGTTCTGTGATCACTTGAGGCCTTCTGAAGTTTGTACTTTGCGGGATTTGGGTTTTAACTTAGGTTCCTGCATCTCAACAGGTGAAGCTCCGCCTCTCGGAACTCCACTCGCAAACCCAAAGCTTCAGGATATGCTAGTGGTTGAGCTTTGTTGCGGCTCAGATGGCATCAGTAAGGCGTGAAGCGAGTCAGGATTCCAGACATTGGCTATGGATGTGAG